CCAAACTTCATCTCTCATACTTCGGACATATTGTCAGGAGGGACCAGTCACTGGAGAAGGAGATCATGTTTGGTAAGGTGGAGGGTCAGAGAAAAAGAGGAAGACCCCCAAGCGAGATGGATTGGCAAAGTGACAGCATCAATGGGCTCAAGTGTGGCCATAATTATGAGGTTGGCCCAGGATCAGGCAGTGTTTCGTTCTGCTGTGCCTAGGGTCACTATGAGCCCCTGGTGGACGCTTGCGCGTTGCGGCCGATCCCGGATCGCGCTTGCGCGCCCGCCCGCGGGGCACGCCGGGAAGCTGAGTCCCCCCTCCCTGGCCCCGCCTCGCGCGCGCCTCGCGCGGCCGACGGGAGGGAGGGGTCCGAGCGCGCAGGCACCTGGGCGCTCCCCACGCCTGGATCCTTCGCGCCTCCGGTTCGGACGAACACCCCCGGACGTCTGTGCACGGGGAGGCGGGCAGGGCTGGGCTACGCCGGCCCACCTAGCCCGCTCAGCTTTGGGGGGCCTTTTTTGTGACGTCCCAGCAGGGGGCGGAGCCTGGCGGGACTAGGCGTTAATTTGCTGGGAGGGTCCCACGCTTGGAATGAGCGGACAGGGAGAGGGAGCGGCTGAGGCTCACGCTTGAGCCGTGCCTGATGATGCTGTGTGTCGCGATGGCCACACCATCTCCAACCTCAGTTTCTCCAACTGAAAATAGGGAAGTGGGCCCCCTAATCTCCTACAGGGTGGCCTTGGCCAAGAAGAAAGTGAGGGCGGGGCATGCCTCAGTTTCCCGCTACTGGGGCAGATGGAAAGGCTGACTGTCCAGGCGTCCTGTTCACATTCTCATCCAGTTTGATGAGCCGCTGGGGTGACTGGTGAAGCTGCCCCTCATAGTCATGTTGGGAGCGGAAAAAGCCCACCTCCACGAGGTCAGCGGTTCAAGCTCACCAGCAGCTCCTGAGAAACGCCATACAGGATCGCTATGAGTGGGTGCCGACTCGCCGGCACTTAACAACATTGACCATCCGATCAATAATTACCGATTCAGTGCTTGACCCTGGACAGTCCTGGTTCTGGTTTACCCCCAACCTTGAGCTCAGCACCCACCCCTAGACTGAGTCCAATCCCAGCTACCCTGAGCCCTGGCCCCATCTGAACTCTGACCCTAGACTGAGTTATGACCGTGGCAGAGCCTGAACCCTAACAACACTCAACCAAATTCAACCCCTGCTGAGTCCTGACCTTAAATTGACTTGTGACTCCTGATGAGCCCTAATCTTAGACTCCCTCCCAATCTTGGCTTGGGCCCTGACCCAGCTGAGCCGCCCTGCCCCCACATGGCTGAACCCTGACCTTAGCCAAGGCCTGAACCCTGGCTGTGCCCCTCACCCCGCTACCTCGCACCCCGACATGGCTGAACCCTGACATCACACGGAGTTCTGACATCTGACTTTTCCCCATCCCTGGGGCTGAGCTCTAACCTGGCCTCCTCCCAGCGTGGCCAGTTGCTCATGAGCGTCAGCTGTGCTGACCTGGTCTGCATCTGTCCACACCTGTCCCAGAGAGGGGGTGTGGTGTGTCCCCGCCCCGCTGGCAGCTGTCTTGGACTGCCCACAGCTGCATCAACACTTCTGGTCTCATGAGTCAGGCGTCCCAGCTGGGGACAGGCAGGCGAATCTGTCTGGGAAAATGAAATCCAAGTGTCAGAGGTAGGGGGTGGGGAGGCCTTGGGCAGAGCGGTACTGGCCTTTGCTGCTGGAGGTCTCCTTGCTGTAAGATGTGGGTCTTGGTTATGGGAACTCTCTGGCTATCACCCTTTGCCAGGCACTTGCGTCTCTGACTCTTAGCTTGGTTCCCTTTGGGAGCAAGCTTCAAGTTAGAGCTACATTTAAGTACTTAGGCCTGTTGGCAAACTCCCATGAGATTTCCCAAGAATCAGCCTTCCTCCTTCCCACATCTTTGGAGGTATGGAGCAGGAACTATAAAACAAGTACACAAAATCCCCTCCTCTCTCAGAGACAGGTGAGCCCAGTGAGAAAAGCAAGGAAACCAACAGGCATTGATGACTGTTACTCAGGAAAGAAGGGTGACAGTTCTGTAAGGGTCCCGAAGGCTGACTGTAGACTGCAGGTGTCTGTGAGGAAGAGTCATTGAGCAGACGGGCATGGAGGAGGGTCTGAAGGAACTGTGTTACAGGGTAAGGGAACAGTAGGCAAAGACCCTGAAGTAGGAGTGCCCTGAGAGCATCCGAAGGCCAGTATGCCTGGGCCTGAGTGAGGGAGGGGACCGCCTTGCTGTGAATTGTATCTTGTAACTTTCTAACCATAGGGTTTGGAACTCCCAACAAATGACTGAGTTCATAAAAAACAATGCCCCACCCCACCCCGGGTCACCAAGTAGATTTCAACTGCTTGTGAGGTTGGCAGTCCAGCACCTAATCCACTGCACCACCACGGCTCCTTTCAATGATTGGATGGTTGTTGCTAAATACTATCGAGCCTTTTCCAACTCACAGTGACCCTGTATAGGGTTTCCAAGGATTGGTTTGTGGTTTTAAACTGCCTGCCTTATATGGTTCAAACTGACCTTGCAGTCCAGTGCACAGCATCTCAGCAGGCCTTCTATGATTGGGTTGTTGTTGTTGTTAAGTGCTGTTGGGTCGATTTTGACCCATAGCAACCCTGTATAGGGTTCCTGAGGAGCAGCTGGTGAGCTTGAACCACCGACCTTACAGTTCAAACAGCTTTGTAGTCTGGTGCATTAACCCACAGAGCCACACCAGGATTCCAACACTTGAGTAGGACTATGCAAATAAGAGCTGTGGTACACCAAAGTGATTGGCTAGTTTACTGATTATGTAAATAGGGTGCATGGCACTCTTTAAGGGTGTTAAGTGCAGTTGAGTCAGTTCTGACTCATAGTGACCTTGTAGGGCTTCCAAGGGGTGGTTGGTTAGTGGTTTAAGCCACCGACCTTATGGCTAGCAGCCCAGTGCTTACCTACAGCCTCACACCATGGGAGGGATCCTTGTTAAATGCTGTTGAATCACTTCTGACTCATAGTGACCCTATACAGGTTTTTGAAGCTATGAATCTTGAGAGCTTGTTTGGAGGTTCTAGCAGGGGAGCGCAGCTACTTGTATACCCTTGACCGAAGGATGGTCCTCTCCTCTATTGGGGACGGTCATCCTCTTCAGCTTCGGGAGGGACGCGCATGGAGCAGTGAGAGAGGAAGGGGACACCCACTTACCAGCCAGATCAGCTGAATCAACCCTGGCGATCAATGGGGTGACAGATGTCGCAGCCAGATCGCCCTCACATCCCGAAGCTATAAATCTTTGTGGGAACAGAAAGCCTCATCTTTCTCCCGTGGAGCAGTTGGTGGGCTTGAACCACCAACCTTGTGGTTCACAGTCCAGTGCAAATAGTATGGAACCCTAATGTGGGCATTGGTCAGTTGTGCCATTCTGCTCCGTTTACAATGAGCCATCTCAGGAGAAAGGGGGGCTCTAACTAGCATCAAGAAAGACAAGTCAGGGGTAAAGTCTTTGGACCCAAGATCCCTGTGGTGAACCTCCTCGATTCAGGAGATGGAGATGTGATACTGGAGGTGACAAGAACCAGGAATGGTGGCAGCAGAGCCACGAGATGGGCACATGCTTCGAGGTCCACTGAGTGAGAAAGTGGGGGGCAGGAGGCTTGCTAGTGGAGTGGGGTGCCTACGTCATTTAATCAGGGATGTGAGGAGCTAGGTCTGCCAACCTAGAGTTAGAGCTGAGAGACTTTGGGACGAGGCTTATGGGTGAGGTACCTCTGGGCATTTATGGGCAGGCCTAAAAGAGCTTTGATATTACCCAAACAGGGCAGAGGCAAAGGGGGTGTGGAGCCGAGAGGTGAAGGGCCAGAGCGATGTGTCTGTAGAGACAGCTGAGGAAGAAGGTGTCCTGCTTCAAGAAATGCATCCTGAACGCTTCAGCTCCTGAATTGTAGCCTCTTTTTTCCTAATAAAGTGAGCTTTATATGGTTTTGTGAGTTTAGTGTGGCCACTCAACAGAGGAGTAGAGCGCTGTGGGAGGAATGAGTGGTGCCAGAATAGGTAACAAATTGGAGGTGGGGTCACCTCTGTCCTCCACCTCGCAGGGGTCAGCCTTGGGCAGCTCTGAGGCTGAGGTTTGGAGGTCAAACGCTGCCCCCATGCCATTGTGACAGGGATGTTGTTAAGTGCCCTCGATTCAATTCCGACCCATAGCGACCCTGTATAGGCTTTCCTAGGAGCAGCTGGTGAGCTTGAACCGCCGACCTTGCCGTTCAAATGGCTTTGCAGTCTGACGCATTAACCCACAGCGCCACCCTAAGACGCCCAGCAAAGCAGCTGGGGAGGCTCCCAGCTCATCTCTCCTGAGAACAGACTCCTTCACAGGTCCTGGGGGAACATGGTCCCAGAACTCCAGGCGGGTCCGTCTACTTCTGCCACTCAGCCTGCCCTCAGAGAGTCCCAGAGCTGTCTTATTGGCTGTCTGGGCGTCACATGCTTGATCCCCAACCAATCACTGCAGCCCAGAAATGCTGATTGGCTAGGCTGATGGTGGGCTCAAAAGTGTTGATGTGAGATTCACAGGAGACACTCAGGCCACCTTCCTGGAATCCGGAAACTGAAGAGGAGCCTAGAATCAGGGCTGCCTGAAGCTGTCTTGTGGGGGTCTTGAGGGGTCCTCAGGAGGCAGGTGGCATCCTGGGCTGGAGGAGGGCCCGGCCAGGCCTGAGAGTTGAACTTGAGAAAATTGGCCACCAGGCGGCAATGGCAGCTGTGGGCCCCCCTAAGATGTGAGAGGGAGAAGCTGGGAATCCAAGAAACCTGCAGGGGACTTGGGGGCACCCTGGGGGCAAGAGTGTGTGGATGCAGGAAAGGAGGGGCCTTACAGGGCTAGTATGGGTCAAAGTAGACGGGCGGCAGTAGACAGGTGCCTTGGGAAGGCACCGCACATGCGGGAGGTGGGGCGGTCTCCGTCATCACTGGATGAAGTTTATGGGTTGGGGAGGAGGGAAATGGGGGCTGGCTTGCTGGCAGTGTGACCCTTCCACCCCAGGACCTCGGTTCCCCCATCTGCAAAAGGAGGTGGGGAAACAGCTTCCTCACAGAGGCCTCGCGAGGGTTCCGGTGTCGGCTCTCACTCACCACCCTCCTCACCAGCTCAGTTAGGGAAACAGGTGCAGCCAGGAGCTGCTTGGGCATGGTGGGTTGGGGCGCCGGGGCTCTCGGGGTGGCTGGTGGCGTGGGGCCAGCGGCTGACTGACCTCCTCTGGGACCCCGCGGTACCTGCCCCCTGACAACTCCAGGGACCGGGTCTGGGGAGGGCGCCCGCACACACACACACGGTAGGGCTGACCTGGGGAAGGTTTATTACTGCCGCGGAGGAAGCCTATGGGTCGGGCAGAGTCAGGAGTGTGGGGTAGGGGCAGTTCCTGAGGCTCAGCCTCCCCCTCGGGAGTGGTGATATCAGTCTGGGGGTGGGCAGCCCCCCATGCAGAACACCCCTCCCTAAGCAGGTGAACTGTTCCGGGGGTCAGGACCTCCAGGTGATGGCCGACAGAGCTGAGAGGGGGTTCAGCCTACGGGCTTAACCTTGGCGATGAAGAGGGCGGCTGCCTTCTCCAGGAACTCCTCAAGCAACATGGGGACGCCCGGACGCCGGGCCACCACGGCGCGGTCCATGGCCAGCGCCAGGTTGTCGGGCCCAAGACGCGAGCCAGCCTCAAGGTAGCGCGCAGGCGCTGCCTCGTCTCCGTCCTGCAGCGCGCCCTCCAGCGTGTCCAGCACGGCTTGGCCCAGGCGGCGGTCGACCGCAGCCAGCTCCGGGTCTTCGAGCAGCCGGTACAGGGCGCTAGCCCGCGCCACGAACTCCAGAAGCACAAAGCAGGTGCGCATGCCGGAGCGGAAGACGCCTAGCGGCACGGCCTCGTGGTCCCGGCACTGGATCTTACGCAACAGTGGCGCCACCACCTCCTCTGGAGCGTCGCCGTCCCGGCAGATGCGCTTAAGCAGCTCGCTGTAGGTGCGCCCGTCCAACCCTGGCCTCTTCTTGCGTCCACCCGCGCTCAGGCACTCATAGGCCACGCTGACGTTGTTGTTAAAGGCGGTCCTGTGGGGAGGGGGAGGAGGGCATTGGAAAGAATGGGTATGGGCGGGGCTGGTGCCACCTTGAGCCCCCAACCCCAGCCAGGCCTCAGGACCTTTCCCTTTTGGCCCATCCCTGAGGTCTCAGCTCAAACGTCATCTCTCTAGGGTACCTCTATCTACCCACCCACCCCCAGCCCGTTTCTTCCTCTATTAGTCTGCACCGCGGTTATCCGACTTCTTACACGTGCCTCCCCCCAGGACGGTAGCCCAGTTGGCAGTGAGTGTATTTGTCTCCGTCATCGTTCGGAACACTGCCGGATGAACAATGGTGATGTGCGCGGTGATGTGCGAGGTGCGCCGAGAGTGGGCTCCGACTCATAGCGACCCGATGCACAACAGAATGAAACACTACCTGATGCTGGGCCACCTCACAATCACTGTTACACTTGAACCCAATGCTGCTGCCATTGGGCCAATCCATCTCCTTAGGGGTCTTTCTGCAGGGACTGGTCCCTCCTGACAACATGTCCAGAGGACAAAAGACCAAGTCTGGCCATCCTGGCTTCTAAGGAGCTTCTTCCAACACAGATTTGTTTGTTCTCTGGCAGTTACACAGTCCTTTTAATATCCTTCTCCAGCATCAAGACACACAGCGGTGGTGGCTGGTGGTTAGGTGGCTGTGGAGTCGATTCCGAATCATAATGACCCTGTACAGGGTTTCCGAGGTTGTATATCTTTATGGGAGCAGAAAGCCTCATCTTTCTCCTGTGGATCAGCTGGTAGAACTGCTTACCTTTGTGGTTAGCAGCCCAACTTGTAACCTGAGCTCCTTATAACACAAAGTTGCTGTTAAGTGTCGTCGAGTTGGTTCCGACCCATGGTGACCTTGTATAGGGCTTCTGAGGAGTGACTGGTGAGCTTGAACCGCCAACCTTGCAGTTGAAACCGGCTTTGCAGTCCCACCTTAACCCACAATGCCATAGGCGCTCATAAGTGGTCTGCTCCATCAGTTCACAGACATCTGTCAGTGGCAGGTCTGCTATCCCCCAAGTCCTCACATGGCCACCACTAATGACAACCGCAGCGGCAGGCAGACTCGTGGGCCCTGTTACTATTGCTACTATGATGTGTGGGGAAACCAAGGCTCAGGGCAGGCCAAGGATTCCTGAGAGCATGGGGCCAGCCCATGGCCTATAGCCATCCTCTTTGGAGTCTTGGTGTGGCACTCTAGGATCAGCACTGGAATGCTAACTGCAAGATCAGCAGTTCAAACCCAGCAGCCACTCCTTGGAAACCCTATAAACAGGGTTACTATGAGTCAGAATCGACTCGATGGCAGATCAGGAGTCCTGGTGACTCTGTGGATTAAGTAGTGGGCTGCTAACTGCAAGGTCAGTGGTTTGAAACCAACTCCTTGGGAGAAAGATAAGGTGGTCTGTTCCCATCAAGACTGACCATCTCGGAAACACAAGGAGAGGTCCCACTCTGTCCTTCAGGGTAGATTCTGGGTAGACTTGATGGTAGTGGCTTTGCTGTGTTGGTTTTTGGGGGGAGACTGGCTGGGTGGTGAGGAGGGTGTCCCATAGGGCACACCAACCTGCCTCTAGTGTGAGCTGGGCCTTCCCTCACCTTTCCCGGGCTGGCACAATGAAGGTTCAGGGCAGCTGAGCAGGACTTGAGCAGGGGCAGAGCTGACGCTCAGTGGGGCAGAGCCGGTGTCCACTGGCTGCTGGCTGCTGTGCTGTGGGGGTTGGTAAACATTGGCTGACTGGCAGTGGGCACTCAGTGGGCGTCCAGTAGGCACTGGACAGTGTGCAGTGGGTATTTAGTAAACCCTGGCTGCTGTCATCTCAGAGTGTACAGAAGGTATCCACAGGGGCCCTGCAGATTAACGCCCTTCAGTATGGATTGCGTCTCAATGTCAAGAAAACGAAAATCCTCAACATTGGACCAATAAACAACATTCTTATCAATGGAGAAAAGATTGAAGTTGTCAAGGACTTCATTCTTCTTGGATCAACCATCCACACTCATGGAAGCAGCAGTCAAGAGATTAGACGACGTATTGCACTGGGCAAATCTGCTGCACAGGACCTTTTTAAAGTGTTGAAAAACTGACGCTTGGGGACTAAGGTGCACCTGACCCAAGCCATGGTGTTTTCAATAACCTCATATGTTAGCGAAAGCTGGACAGTGAATAAGGAAGATCATAGAAGAATTGATGCCTTTGAGTTATGATGTTGGAGGAGAATATTGAAAGTGCCATGGACTGCCAAAGGAACCAACAGATCTGTGTTGGAAGAAGTGCAGCCAGAGTGCTCCTTGGAGGCCAGGATGGCCAAACGTCATCTCTCATGCTTCGGACATGTTGTCAGGAGGGACCAGTTAATAGAGAAGGATATCATGTTTGATATGGTGGAGGGTCAGAGACAAAGAGGAAGACCCCCAGAGAGATGGATTAGCCAAGTGGCAGCATCGATGGCCTCAAGCGTGGCAACGGTAGTGAGGTTGGCCCAGGATCAGGCAGTGTTTCGTTCTGCTGTGCCTAGGGTCACTATGAGTCGGTACCAACTCGATGGCACCTAACAACAAGAAAACGAGGCAACAGGCCCAGGGACCGGAGGTCGGTAACCTGGGTCTCTCCCAGTTGGGATTTACTTCTCTCGGCACAGCTGGCTGTAGTAAAGTCTTTTTCTTGGTGACTTTTAAAGATCCTTTCCACCAGACCCTTACTCTCTGCCGGGCGCTGTGCTGAGGCCTCTGAAGCTGGGATGGTGCCGGGGGTGGCCTGAGACCTCAGTGGACATCCACTCCATCTTTGCCGGGTTTATTGCCAATCACTGCACTGCTGTTTCCTCAGAGTCCTTTGCAGTCAGTTGGGTTTTGACCCCATTTCATGAGGATAAGTGGGGGAGGGAATCACTCTCTTGCTGTGTAATCAATTCACCTAAAATCCAGCTATGAAAAGTAGCCACAAAAATCTGTCGTGTTACATGGCCCGTGTGGCAGGAATTGAGTGGCTGGCTGGGTGGTCTGGCTTAGGGGTCTCAAGAGGCGGCTGCCGGGATGCTGGCCGTGCCTGTGTTATCTGCAGGCTCGTGTCCAAGGTGGCTCCTCACATGCTGGCAGGTTGGGGCCAGCTGGCGGCCAGAGGCCTCAGTTCCTCCCCCTGCAGTGCCTCTCCGGGACATCCTGAGCTCCTTGTTGACAAGGCGGCTGGCTTCCCCCACAGCGCACCATCCAGTCTTCTCTGCAGCTTCTCTTGGATACGCAGGGCCACTCCATTTGATGGGGAGACCACACAGGGGCCGGAACTCCAGGACATGAGGGTGACTCCGCCCCCTGTACCTCACACACCCCTCCAGCTCTCTTCCTCCTCTGGGCATGTCTCCACTTTTTTGAAGCTAGGCAGAACCACGTGATTTGTTTGGCCACGGAAATGTGATGTGAGGTCCGGTTCCGGTGGAGGTTCTCAGAGCCATCTCTCCCTTTGGGGACGTCCACCCCCGTTGACTGTGTGAGTGCACACTCGGCTGCTCTCTGTTGTGTTACAGCCACCCAGGCTTGCGGCTAGTTGTTACGCCATTTATCCTGAGGCGCTGCTGGTGAATTTGAACTACTGGCCTTTCCGTTCAAACCAACCTTTCAGTCCCGTGTCCATCCTACAGCACCACACCCAGACTCCAGCAGTCCAGCTGTTGTTGTTGTTAAGTGCTGGCCAGTCGGTTACGATTCATAATGACCCTGTCTATAGAGTTTCCAAGGAAGAGCTGGTGGGTTTGAGCCGTGACCTTGTGGTTCACACTGACCTTGCAGTCCAGCGCATTACCCGGTACCACCACACCAGAGCATTGTTTCGTTCTGCTGTGCATGGGGTCGCTATGAGTCGGTTCCGACTCGATGGCACCAGACAACAACAACAACAACCACACCAGAACCCCATGTGGTTGTTAAGTGCTGTCAAGTAGCGTCAGTTCCGACCCATAGCAACCCTATCTAGGGTTTTCAAGGAGCAGCTAGTGAGCTTGAAAGCAAATTGAGCTTCAAACCAACTTTGCAGTCCAGCGCATTAACCCACTGCACCACACCAGGACTCCCAAGAACTCCATGTTGTTGTTGATAGGTGCCATTGGGTCAGTACTGACCCATAGCGACTCTATGCACAGCAGAACGAAACACTGCCCGATCCTGTGCCAACCACACTACTGTTGCCACGCTTGAGCCCATTGATGCTGCCACTTCGCCAATCCATCTCGCTGGGGGCCTTCTCTTTTTCTCTGACCCTCCACCTCACCAAACATGATATCCTTCTCCAGTGACTGTTCCCTCTTGAGACCCAATCAATTTCTTCCCACCAGCTCCTTCCTCCCTGAGGTGGCGTTCCAGGAGAGAGAGGCTCCCCTTCTTCACTGAGGGCCTTCTGTGACTAGGACCCACCCCCGGTTTCCGCTGTGCCTTCTGGCTGTGACCACAGCAGTCCCTGCCCCTCCATGTCCTTGGCAGGAGAATGAGGCTCCAGGCACCGCCACCTCAGGAGCCAGGCCAGGGCAGAAGAATGGAGCTCTTGCCAGGTGCTAACACAGGCTAGGACGAGGGCTGTCATCTAGCCGCCATGAAGAAAACAGAAATCCTCACCACGGGACCAGTCAATAACATCATGATAAATGGAGAGCAGATTGAAGTTACTAAAGACTTCATTTTGCTTCAATCCAACAATCAATATTCAGGGAAGCTTTGGTGTTGTTAAGTGCCTTTGAATTGATTCTGACTTATAGTGACCTTGTATAAAGTTTCTGAGGAGCAACTGGTAAGTTTGAACCACCAAATTTGAGGTTTAAACCACCTCCTGGTCGAGTGCTTATCCTACAGTGCCATACCAGAAGCCGTGGAAGCAGCAGTCAAGAAATCAAACGACCTTTTTAAAGTGTTGAAGGGCAAAGGTGTCAGCTGGGAACTAAGGTGTGTCTGACCCAAGCCATGGTATTTTCAATAATAACCTCATATGCATGTGAAAGCTGGACAGTGAATAAGGAAGACCACAGAATTGATGCATTTGAGTTATGATGTTGGAGGAGAATATTAAAAGTACCATGGACCGCCAAAAGAACCAACAGATCTGTGTTGGAAGAAGTGCAGCCAGAGTGCTCCTTGGAGGACAGGATGACCAAACTTCATCTCTCATACTTCGGACATATTGTCAGGAGGGACCAGTCACTGGAGAAGGAGATCATGTTTGGTAAGGTGGAGGGTCAGAGAAAAAGAGGAAGACCCCCAATGAGATGGACTGGCCGTGGAAACAATTGTGAGGATAAAGAGGAAGCCCCCCAGCGAGATGGACTGGCCGTGGAAACAACTGTGAGGACGCTGTAGGAACCGATAGTGTTTCATTGAAGTGGGAACGGACTCAAAGGCACCTATCAACATACACCAAGGGAGGGTTATAGTCAGGTCAGGGTCAAGGGGGAGGTAGGGCAAGAAGAACAGGAGAGCTGCCGCCCTGGGTCCTCACTGGGTCCCCACCCTGAAAAGACACCCATGCCATCTGCTGAATCAGAGGGAGAGATGAGATCCGGACGTGAGTCAGCTCTGCTCCGAGGTGGGGCCGGGGACTGCAGGGTCTGTGAGGTGGGGACTGGGCACTTGGCGAAGGCCCTGTATGTGTCAGTGCCTATGCCGAGCACTCTGCAAAGTGTGTGAGCACTTGCTAGAGAAGCAAACAGGAGATATTTATGGACTGTCTCCAGGGAGGGACAGAAGACTTGCTTTTCACACTAACCCAGGGATTCTCAACCCGGGGACAATGCTGCCCCCTGGGGGACACTTGGAGATGTCTGCAGACAAGTGTGGTTGGCACAACGTGGCATCTTGTGGGTGGAGGCCAGGGAGGCTACTCAACACCCCGCAGTGCTCAGGAAGGGCCCCACCCTAGAGAAGGCTCCAATTCGTGTCAGCAGAACCTGTGGAAGCAGTGAGAATGCCTGCATTAATTACCGGGAAGCGCACGCACGCACGCTCGCATGCACGCTCGCACACTCGCACGCCATATGCCAGGGTAGCTATGAGCTGCAATTGCCTTGAAGGCGGGGCTTGTTTTTTGTTGTTGTTGTCGTCATTAAGTGCAGTCGAGTGGATTCTGACTTACAGCGACCCCCCTATAGGGTTTCCATGGAGTGGCTGGTGCGTTTTAGCCACCGACCTTCCTGTTAGCAGTCCAGTGCTCATTGTACAGCTGTAGTAGCGCTATGAGTCGGAACCGACTCCACGGCACATAACAACAACAGTAGCGTAGTGGTTACAAATCGGGCTGCTAACCGCAAGGTCAGCAGTTCGAAACTACCAGCCGCTCCATGGGAAAAAGATGAGGCTTTCTGCTCCCGTAAAGATTTACAGCCTCAGAAACCTGCACAGGGTTGCTATGGGTCGGAACCGACTCGATGGCACTTAACAACAACACCAGGATAAATTCCTGATGGGTTGTTGTTGTCAGGTGCCATCGAGTCAGTACTGACTCATAGCGACCCACCGCACAGCAGAACGAAACACTGCCCGCTCCTGGGCCAACCTTACAATTGTTGCCACGCTTGAACCCACTGATGCTGCCACTGTGCCAATCCATCTTGTTGCGGGTCTTCCTCTTTTTTGCTGATCTACTTTACCAAACATGATATCCTTCTCCAGCGACTGGTCCCTCCTGACAGTATGTCTGAAGTATGAGAGATGAAGTTTGGCCATCCTGGTCTCCAAGGAGCACTCTGGCTGCACTTCTTCCAACACAGATCTGTTGGTTCTTTTGGCAGCCCCTGGCACTTTCAATATTCTCCTCCAACACCATAACTCAAAAGCATCAATTCTTCTACGGTCTTCCTTATTCGCTGTCCAGCTTTCATATGCATATGAGGTTACTGAAAATACCATGGCTTGAGTCAGGGGCAGGGCACCTTAGTCCTCAAGCTGACATGTTTACTCTTTAATATTGTAAAGAGGTTAGATGATGTAAAACAGGGGGACCCTCTAGATTCTGGGATTTCCCTCATCTCTCTTGTCCACTCAGTGTCGTAAGTTTCAATGTGGGCAGTATCTTAGGTGGTCAGGAGGTCAGATGATTAAGGGATGCAGAGTCTCTTGCCGGTCAGTGGAATCCCCTGACCAAGGAGTTCTCAACTTGGGACACTGGCAATGTCGTTTTCACGACTTGAAGGGAGGTGCTACTGGCATGGAGTGGACAGGACAGTCTAGAGCATCTGAGGATAAGGAACCCTTGGGCTAGATTTGGCTGCGAGCTTTGTGTTTTTTTGGGCGTACACTGCTCCCTTACCTCTGTAGTTGGGATGTTGGGGTTCCCTCCCTCAGCTTCTCTGTCACCTTCCACTCTCTATTGAGGGCTACCCTCCAGCTCTGGGGGCCCAGGGGCTCAGGATGCCTCGGTGACCTTATTCCCTGGGGGAATCAAGGAGTAAGGCTCCATCCTCTGCCCTACTTCCCCGGGTCCCATCTTCCTCCCCTTCTCCTGGGAGTCCATCCTATTGGAATCACCTCCTACAACCTGTTGTCTATGGCTCTGCTTCCAAATCATTAGTCCAGTTCCAAAGAAAAGCAAGAAGCTTTCCCCCAAGGAGGAGCCAGTTAGCAGTGGAACCGAAGAGGCTCTTAGCAACAAGAGTAGTAGCATCAAGAAAAAGTAAAAAACTAAAAAAAACAAAAAACAAACCCAGGACAATTAGCATGGACGTTCCCCAACCCATCTCAATAAAAACAAAAATTCACAAAAGTTAAAATAAAAGCATCAGCCCACCCACACCCAATCACAACTCTCTTCTTTCAAATCCTTTCTTCCCACCCCACGCGGATGCGAACTGTTCATTCCCTCCACGCCAATTCCCTGACCACCTTCCCTGACTCAGAACCATCGGGACTGTTTCTCCACCCTCCAGCTCTCAGCCACATCCACAGTAATTCCCACCCTCACCCCCTCCACCACAGAGGGGGCATCCGGATATGGCACTGTGGGTTAATGCGCCAGACTGCAGAGCTGTTTGAACTGCAAGGTTAGCAGTTCAAGCTCACCAGCTGCTCCTCGGAAACCCTATCCAGGGTCGCTATGGGTCGGAACTGACTCGATGGCACTTCACAACAACCTCCTCCGCAGCTCTAACAGAAGCCATTGTATTTTCAGGGCCTCCTGCTGGCCAGGCCTGGCTGCTGTGCATCACGAAGGCCAGGCCACCTGGGATCACCCCTCCTGCCCATGGGTACCTCTCCCCATCACAGCCCCAGTGGCTGTTGGAACTATCTGAATAGGGGAATTGGTTGATTGGGATGCTCTGTCTTCACAGCCCTGACTTGTAAATATTCATTTTTCTGTCTGCATGGGAGGAGATGCTACCAGGCAAAGAGGAAGGCTAGGACAGCTTAGTCTGCGACCTTCGGAGAGGTCGTCTGTGGGCTCAATGACCTTCAAAAATGGATACACTGCAAAGGGACATTCAGCATCTGCAAAAAGGCGTAAGAGAAGGCGAAGCTGGTTAGGACCACTGAGCACCTGATCACGCATGGAGACCTCAATTTCCATCTCAGTAGGAGGCCGTCGCCCTAGTTTCAGCCAGCGACCGGGAAAAGCTACTGACTACAATTCCCAGCATGACCCGCGCTCCGTCGCTCAGGCCGAGACCGAGCAGTAGCGCGGAGCACGCTGGGAATCGGAGTCCATCCGTGGCCTGCACCCACCCAGACCCATCGCCGGTCCCGAACCTCTGAGAGTGATGAGCCAGGCGAAGGTGCCACAAGGCGCGGCCCAGGCGCTGCTGTTGCAGCAGGAGCTGACCGGGAGGTTCGCCGGCGCCGCCGTTTGCGGGTGAGCGCAGGCCCATGTTTTCGAAGTAATGCGCCAGGAAGGCGATGGGCTCCTCGGGCCGCGCTTCCAGCACTTTGAGCAGGGCCGTGCGCAGCATCTCCGTCACGCCGACCTGCCGCAAGAAGTCCTCCTCACTCTCGGCCACTGCCGCCGCCTGAGACACGGCCGGCCGGCCGCTGTCCGTGATACCGGCCACCGGGGCCACAGCCGGCCGCCGCTTCTCCACTGCCGCCATCTTCGCTGAGGGCAAACGAGACCGGAACCGCCGCCATATTCCGCACTACGCCTGAGTCGCCATTTTGGTTGGGGGCAGAGGACGTCGGGATCCCGTTGGGAGAGTCTAAAAGTCGCAAGTGGAGGCCACTTTTTCCCCTAGGTCCTAGTTGATATTCTTCATCTTGTTCTTTCTTTACGTATATTTACTGATTCTCCTCGATTAGGCCTCGAATTAAATTTTGCCAGACTCTAAAATGGCTGCTTAGGAAGGCTTGGTTTCTGGAATGAAGCCGGATAGCTAGCCATCTTGGTCGTGGGCAGAGAGTTCTTCCGGAGAAACGGTCTCTTAGCAACCAGTCTCCTTGGTTACCAGAGGCCTCGACCGAGTACGAACATCCACTTCGGCCTGCCTACTGAGTGCCGCCCTGCCTCCAGATCCATTTGAGTCTCATTTCTGAGCTTTTGAGCCAAGTCAAACTACCCCCTCATCCCGTATGAATTTTAGCTCACCTCTTGGGGAAAGCCCTCCCCCGGTCCAGGCTGGTTTAGACAACTGCTCGGGACTCCTACCTTAAGGGTGGTTTTGAAGTCTCTCTCACCCTCTGGACGGGTGGCTCTCCCCAGCGTAGCCAGCCAGCGTAGCAGAAAGAATGAGTTAATGAATCCTCATGCCTCCTAGTTCTTGTTTCAGGCTGCCTCCCTTTCTGACCTCCAAAAGGATCTTTCTAACACTGAATCCTCCACAGTTCTAGGGCCTCCATAGCTCCCTAGTGCCCTCCCTCTGCAGACTTCATTTGCAGCCATTGTCCCACCACCTTAGCCCCCCCTTCTCTGTATCTTTGCCCATTGTTATTGTTCAGGGCCGTTGAATTCGTTCCGACCCATAGCGACCCTGTTTCCGAGGAGTGGCTGGTGGGTTTGAACCGCCAACCTTGCGGTCCAGCGCATTATCTGCAGTTCCTCACCAGAACTTTGCCCATGCTGCTCCCTAAATGCCCTTCCTTGATTCCTCTGGAGGAACTCCTAGGCCTTTAAATGTTCTGTCATTCAGGGAAATACAGCCTATATGTTCTCCTGACTCCTTCTCCCCTAGACCTTGCCAAGTCGGCCAAGGTGTCGTCTTTGTCCACCCCGACCTCTGTGCAGGGAATAGCTAAAGCTTCAAGGAGGGGTCAGCATCCTTACACTATGACAGGGCTCAGTGTTGTTCAGATCAAATGCCCTTTATTCCCCGGCTCTGGCCCACTGAGGATGGACTTCCTTAGACATCAGAATACAGGGCTGGCTGTTGACCTCGTGGGAACCAGGACCACGGAGATGTCCTGTGTTCATAACTGAGCTGAGAAAGAGGCAGGCCAGGACTGGAGGCGTGATTGCCATCGGAAGCTGGGCTGCTCGGTCCTCAGCCCAAGCGCTGGTAGCACCTTCGCAGACGGAAGCCAAGGAACATCATGAGGAGCAGTCCCAACACCAAAATCCCAGTCCACAGGGTGGCAGGTGGCTGCACAACCATGGGGCAGAGCGCTGGGGAGGAACAACGAGAAATGCCTTCACCACCTCACCGTAGGGAGAAAGTGCTTCCCAGCTCACCCACCTCGTGACAAGAAACCCACTACCACCGAGTGGCTTCTGACTCAGCAGCTGCATGGGACAGGGTTTCCGAGACTGTAAATCTGTACAGACCCACACTGCCTCGTCTTTCTCCTCTGGAGTGGCTGCTGGGTTTGAACTGTCAACCACTCAGTAAGCTTAAGCCACTGTGCTACCAGGGGCTCCTTTCCCATGTTACACTTCTCTGAAATTGACAAAACCCCTGGCTACTCAAAAGACTTTGCAGATTTTCTTTTGAACAATGCACAGGATACTCTGGTTTAAAACTAAACTGTCCAAACAGACACACGTGGGCTTCACATGACTTAACCATTTAGAACGGGGGGTGGGGAATGTCCAGCTGTGAAATCATTTGGTCTGGTCCTACCAAGGCAACCGTGGTTCCAGTCATCAGATCAGGGGTAGTTTGACCAAATAGAGCAGGCTAATTTTTAATTTGATAATTATGTATGATGTTATACATTTTGGCGGAAGGAAGGTTCCAGAAGGTGGCCCTTGTGATTGGAAAGTGTTGTTACACACCACACTTGCAAGGTTCATTTTGAAAAGGAACCGAGAACACAAACCTCTTGTTAATCCTCTTTTGTAGTAATGTCAAGATGACTGTGTTTTCGATAGATTGGGTTTAATTGACTATATTAGCAGAAGGATCAACACCTGAGTCTCTCTACTTTGTCTTTTGAACATGGCTTCTAGAAAATTTAGCGATTTTTGGAATTTCTAGTAACCATGTATGTGGCTGCATCCTGCTCTTATTTTCATTCCACTGGTTGTTGTAGTTGCTAAGATTTAGAGTATATGAAGTGCTCTGAAATCTACATGGTCCCAGGAATTGACAAAGGACGTGACAGCTATCTGTCTGTCGGCCATTCTCAGGACCACTGCTTGGTTGGGGACACTGAGGCTGAGCAGGTCATTTTCTTATCAGCACTTACACACACTCCAGCCCTTACACATCCTCTTCCCCAGACCCCAGAACTCACGGCTTCTCTGGATCACGTACAGGCTGGCCACCTTGTCCCCTGGGTCCACACGGCACTGAAACAAGCCTTCAGGAGCACATGCAATCTGTCTCACGGTCAGCCAAGCCTGAGCTCCTGCCTCGTGCCGCTCGTAGGCTTCCAGACCACCAGGGGCCTGGGTCCAGCGGACCACCACTCCTGGTGGGCCACAGGTCACCTTGCATAAGATCTCCCAAGGTGCCTCTCTCTCAGCCAATGCCGAGGGCTGGAGGATCTCAGGGAGGCAGGGACTGCGGGTGGTGGGCTCTGGTGTGGTTGATGCAGGGGGCTCCAGAGAGGTGGACGTGGGAGGTCCTGGGGCAGTTGTGGTGGGGGACTCTGGTGTGGTTGATGCAGGGGGCTCCAGAGAGGTGGAGGTGGGAGGTCCTGAGGCAGTTGTGGTGGGGGGCTCTGGTGTGGTTGATGCAGGGGGCTCCAGAGAGGTAGAGGTGAGAGGCCCCAGGGTGGCTGTGGTGGGGGGGCCCTGGGTAGTTGCTGTGGGGGTCCCTGGGCTGACCAATGTGGAGGGCTCCAGAGGGGTTGGTTCGGAGCTCTTCGGGGTGACCAGGCTGTGCAGGACTGGAAAAAAGGGTGACTATGTCTTGCTGCCCGGGGCTCGTCTCCTGCTCAGTCTATTTGGACAGAATCCTCTGCAATCCTTCCCCTGGACTGTTTGGGTGAGTCACCAGGGCAGAGACCCTAGTGGTCAGGGGCAAGGTCCTCCCCTCAGGCCCCCCAGTTTTGGCAGCATTGGGCTGAAGTCCTGAATCTCTCTGAACTTCAGTTTCCTCAATTACTAAGTAGGGATGATTCCTATGCTGCCTCCTCAGGATCTGGGATGGGGCTTTGACTACCAAGAGATGTAAAAGAGGAGCCAGGAGGGTAGAGAAACCGTCAGGGGCTCGACCTGTCCAGCTGTGCCCCCCAGACCCTCTGTACCCCAGCAGTAATCCTGCTCTGTTTCCCAGTTCTTTCTGACTGTCTGCGAACCTCCTTGCCTGTACCCCTGAGTGCATTAATATGAAGGGGGGTGTTGGAGAAGAGTTGTTTTCTTTAGAGACAGAAGTGCTGTGTATCAGACCTGTGATAAATGTTTCCATTTGTCAGTTAACTCCACAAGTAGTCATTGGGTGCCTATGTAGTGACCGACCCCGTTGATGCTACTGGGGACACTGCTGTGACCAGGGGGTGGCACAATAAACAGAACATACAAATGTGAAACACTGATAAGACACCAATTATCAATGCTCCGTGGGGGCCAACCACGGCTCTGCCCTCTATCCACGCTCTGTCCTCCTGAAGGACACCAGAGGGCGCCCGTGAGCACCAAGTTGGTCTGTCCCTGTTCTGTCTGCCATCCTCCTGCGCTCCAGCCATAAAACAGAAGAATGTGTATGCTAGCCTACACGTGGGAGGGGTGTTCCCCTTTAAACAGGGAGTTCAGAGGGGGTCGTTTGAGCAAAGACCTGAGGAAGTGAGGGCAGGCTGGGGCGATCTGGAGGATGAGTGTTCCAGTAGTGGGAACGGCATGTGCAAAGGTCCTGAGGTGGACTGTGCCTGGTGGGTGTTGGGAAGGCCCGTGTGGCTGGAGAGAGTGAGTGAGCAGAGGAGAGGGAGGAGGGGAGAGGAGGGAGGAGGGGAGAGGAGGGAGGGGATTGGGCAGTTTATGCGTGGCCCTGTGGACTTTTACTGGCGAGGTGGGGCAGGGACAGGCCCACTTGGTGCTCACGGGCGCCCTCTGGTGGTCACATGGAGGCGTGTGTGGACCGCCGCAGAGCGAGGACGCGATCACACCGAGCATGGGACGTTGTAGGTGTGGGGTCAATATTGTTTGAACGAATGAATGACGTACTATGTATCACTCTGGCTACCCCAGAGGGCAGATTAAAGATAAAATTCGGTCTCCCCACCTGCTCCCCGTCACTGATCCTATGACCAGTCCAGCTGGGGAGACTGAAACCCCCAATGGCCCAAGCTAGCCCCTCCTCCCCCAAACCATGGCTGTGCCCCTCCCTGGGCACCCCCAGACTCACTCGGGATGGCCTGGTATCGACTCAGCTCCAAGCCCGGCAGCCGCATGGTGGCCGTGCAGTTTAGGAGGGGCGAGGAAGGGGTCTCCAGGGGTGGCAGTAGCCAGGTCTCCGTCACATGGAATAGGGGGTCCTCATCTCCTTGGGCTTCCTCCTCCCGGCCCAGGCTCTGGGCCCCTTCAAGCTCCTGGGCCCCCAGGAACAAGGAGAAGGAGAGAAAATCGGGGTCCCTCGGTGTGACATTGTTGGCGGTACACGTCACCTTCTGGTCCCGCCCAGACACCAGGGTCCTTGGGGACATGCTTAGCTGGTCCGGGAAGGCTGTGGAGGGGGAAAAGCAGGTTGGTGGGGCCTGAACTCAGGGCAGGTCGTCTGGGGGGCTGTTGCTGGAGAACAAGACTAGGGAGAGGTTATGCCAAGGTCCTGGGGCAGAATCTTGAGGTGGGGAGGACACAAAGAGGGGAAGGCAGGGTCAGCTCTGGGTAGCTCGGGGTGGATTTGAGGTGGGAGGCTGGAGACAGGTAGGGGGTGCAGCGATGAGACAGTGGGTTCTAGAGTAGGCAGTATTTGAGCTGGGTGGGTGGGGGCAGGCCACAGGGGTGGGCTCCTAGGCGGAGGTGTTCCTTGAACTGGGCAGCAGATGGGAGCCAGGGGTCCGTTTTCACCCGAGCACCACTCAGGGACAGCCTCACCGTACACCAGGATCCGCACGGTGCGCTGCCTGGAGAATTTCCCGCAGGAGCCGTGGCACACGCGGGTTCCCGCGGCCGACAGCGAGGCATTGCGCACGCTCAGGACGCTGACGCCCGCGGCGGATTGCACGTTGCCCAGGCTGGTATCCAGGCCCCGCCACAGCACCGAGGCGCCCCCGCCCGGGCAGGCTAGACGGCAGGTAAACTGCTGCGAACCGCCCAGTGCCACGGCCACTTCGGAACCCGGGGGATCCACCTCCAGGACCTGCCCTGTGGGTCAGACGGCTGTCCTCAGCCCCGACGGAGGCCATAGTGTCCAATCCTAGCTCTGCCTCTGCCCTCATCACCCTGAAACACATCCTCTGTTTTTGAGTCCCCTTCCCTACGTAGTGGTTACGAATCGGGCTGCGAACCTCAAGATCAGCAGTTCGAAACTACCAGATGTTCCGCGGAAGAAAGATCAGGCGTTCTGCTCCCGTAAAGATTTCCAGCCTCAGAAACCCGGGACAGGGTCGCTATGAGTCGGAACCGACTCCACGGCACATAACCACCACCAACATCCCTACTATAGCTGAAGCCCCTCTTCTTTCTTAAGCCCCTCTTCTCTAGACCCTTCCCCCACCCGGGCCCTTTCCTCTCTCCTATTTTCCCTCTACTGTCTGAGCCCCACTGAGATCTTCTTCTTTAAGCGCCCCCTCCCCGACGAGCCCCTTCCTTTCGGGCCCCCTGCCCCCTCTCACCGTGGCCCTGTGGCCAGAGCCCCAGGCAGAAGAATAACAGGACGGTGAGATTCCGCTCCATGCTCCGTGCCCTCCTTCGTCCCGCCGCCTGCGGGGGACGAGCTTAAATAGTGGAGCTCCGGGCTTCTTCCCACCGCCCGCTTCGCCCCTGGCTCCGGGTGTGGGGGGGGTTTCCCGAGGGGCTTTCCCGGCCTGACCCCCGACCCGGAGGCTGGGCCTGGGAGCCAGAGGTGGGGTGGGACCCCAGGGTCGAGGTTAAGAGAACAGACCGGGAGAGGAGAGCTTGGGCAGACGCCAGGCGTCACTTATGGGGACCGGAGAGGAGTGACTGTCGAGGTCAACTGAATGGAAAAGCTATCTTGGCCCTGCTGCCGCCGCCCCCGCCCGCCCCGTCGGCTGGAGATTCTGCCCTACACTTCCCTGAGCTACCGGGAGGGGGCGGCAGAGCGCTGCCTCCGTCCCGCGTCCCGACGCGCTGCGGGCTGGGGGCTCCTAGTGTGAGGACAGTCTAGGATGGAAGTCTTCTGGAGGTTTAAGATGTCCTGGGCTGGTGGTCTCCCGGGGGTGATGGTGCCCTGGGCTGGTGGTCTCCCGGGGGTGATGGTGCCCTGGG